AGATGTGACATGAGATGATCATGGTATTCTATGAAGTCACTATTAGGAAATGAACACATATTTAGGGATGAAGTGTTATAATTGTGACCTGCTCCAAATGATTTAGCAAAACGCAAAAACATAGAGTAAAGGTTCATACACACATGCAATATTTTCTTCTTTTTTTTTTGTACTGGGAATCAAACTCAGGACCTTCCACTTGCCAGGCTGGTGCTTGTGCTACCCGGGCTACCACATGTAATATTTTAGACATATACTAAATACTAAAAATGTCTGAAATTCGGTAACTAGTTGTCCTCTACTTTTATTTGCAGAGTCTGGCAACCCTTAGCTTAAACAAGCTGGCTTCAGACCCCGTGCTTATGCCCTTATTTACCATTCAAAATAATGTCTTAATATGGACAGTTCCCATAATTACCCAGCTCCCTGATCACGAGCTATTCACCATTCTGGAGGGTGGAGGGTAGCACTGCTAACTTGTTCATTTTACAGAAGGGAAATCGGATCTTGAGTGGAGTCACCTGGGGCTGGGCTTGCACAGAGCTGTGAGAGCCGCTGAGCGCTGGGCATCATCGGTCCCTCATCCTGCAGTGCCTGCTAGGCCGCCTCCCCCTGAAGCTGGCCTTTCTGCTGTTTGTGTCTGTCCATGTCTGCCTCTCCTCTGGTTGGTGTCTGTAGTTCTGGGTCCCTGTTCACCAGGCTTGAAGCCAGCGAAGCCTTGTCACCAGACCCTCCTGAGCGGTCCTGTCTCTTCCGTCTCTGAGATTTCTCCTTTCACCCGTCCCACTGCACTGATCGTCCTTGAGCTTCCCTGCATCTCTGCCAGCTCCTCTCTTCCTCTGAGCATGGTTCCCCCACCATCAGGACTCCTGTACATAACTTAACCCTCCTTTCTGGAATCACCTCTGGTCCCATGCCCCTGTGGCTGGAGTGAGAAGGGGGCCAGGGGTAGGAAGGGCCAGTGATGCGGGGAGGAGGGCTTGAAGGTCCCATGGGGTGGTCCAGGCCAGGGGGCTGAAGGGCACTTCCTGCCACGGAGGCCCTCATCCCTCTGACCAGACTGGAAAATGTGACGTCAGAAGGGCAGTAAAGGGGGAGACAGGAACAGAAATCTGACACCTCTCCTGGGTGATCTTTCTCTGCTGAGGCCTCGGTATCACCCCCACCACTGCTCACCCTGCCATCCAGCGTTCTGATGGCTTTATCCCCAGAAGACCCTTATCCCTCCCCACACTCCCACCCTGCAACCTCCCTCTCTGGCGGGACCTGCCCCAGCCTCCTTGCAGACTTCCAGCACTCGGTGGTAGGTGTCAGAGCTCTTTCTAAAGTGCAAATCTGTGATGTCAGGCCCGCTTGGTGCCTGACTTGTCCCAGCTTCTCGGGACTCCCTGCTAAGTGCGGGGTAATGCTTAAGCTCTCAGCTTGCCATTCCAGGTCCTGCACGGACACCTTTGGCAGACAGAAGCAAGTCTGGAGCCAGGAAAAGACCTACAGACTCCTGGGCAAGAAATGGGCATCAGAACTGAGAGCGTGAGCACTGTTGGTTGGTGTTGGCCAGAGTAGAGAAACTGGCAACAGCCGGAGAAACCCAGAGGGGAAGGATAAGTCTCACAGTGCATGCTTCCCTCAAGAGGCCCTCCCTGGCCCGCAGGTCGTTGTGGGCCGTCGGCAGAGGAGCCTGTTCTGCCGGTGGACCATGGTCCCTGAGGGAGCAGGGGCGCAGGCGTCAGTCACTGTTGTCCTCAGCACTGGCCAGGCCTAGCTGAGCGCGATGAATCAGGGGAGCCCTCCAGGCTGAGCTCGCAAAGGGCAGGGCCGGAAGACTCCCTTCCTCAGTCAGTGCTGAGAGTACAGGCTGGAGCCAGGACACAAGCCTTGACTTTCACTTTGCCAAAACCCCCTCCTTCCTCTAGAATTGGCTGCTGTCAGCAAGCACTTGTTTTTTTTTTTTTTGTACTGTGAATCAAACTCAGGGCCTGGTGCTTGCCAGGCAGGTGCTTGTGCCGCTGAGCTGTATCCCTGACCCTAAGTTTTAAGTAGCAGGACACCACAGCGGCTCAGAAATGCCCACTTGTAAACTCTCAATGTCCCGCATCTCAGGTGCAGGGTCCCAAGCCCCACCCCCATGAAGGGCCTCCAAGCCCAGCCAGGGATGGAAATGAATGTAAATTTATTGAAACTTTTTCGGGGTAGGTAGGTGGGTGGACAGTTGGGGTTTTTCCAAAGACAGCTGTGGGGAGAAGCCAGCGCCCGGCCGGGTGGAAGCGGGTGCCCAGCCACAGACCCTATCTCAGGCCCAACTTCTTCTTTTCCTTCTGCTTCTTTCGGACCACGTCCAGATTCCGGTCCTTCCACATGCTCTTGCGCAGCTTGATGGGGCGTGAGCCCACGTACTTCCCTGTGGGGATGGAGGGCTCAAGGTCAGGAGTACACTGGACGTCTGCCATACCCACCGTGCCTAGGGGAGCCCTCACTCACCATTCATCTCCCGCATGGCACGCACATAGTCACTGGGGTCCTTGAAGCTGACGAAGCCATAGCCCTTGGTCTTGCCTGTGCGCTTGTCACGGATCACCTTAGCCTTAAGGAAGGATGGGAAGCGGCTGAAGGCTCGTGCCAAGATGTCATCATTCACCTCATTGCCCAGGTCTCCACAGAAGATTCGGAAGTCATCTGGGGTTGGGAGAGGAGAGGTCAGAGACTGCCTATTTGACTCTGTGAATGACCTCAAATTCTCTGAAATGATCCCCAAACCCTTCCCCTTCTGTCCCTACAGGCTCTGCCTGGGGACCCTCAGTAATTAATTACCAGCCAATACTCGTGTGGTACCTAACGTGCACCAGGCATCCTGCTAAGCACCTGGCTTTTTTTTTTTTTTTTTTTTAAATATCTAGTGCTCCCAGCAGCCCTTTCACACTGAGGCACAGAGGTCAAGTCAATGCCCAACTTATATGACAGGAGGCAGCACAGCTGGGACAAAAGTGCAGGCCTCTGGCTTTAGGGTCTTTACTTTTAACCTCTAACTGAATTGTTCTTCCTTATCCCAAGACCGCCCACTGCCACGAAGAAGCTCTTAACTCTGACCTGGTGCTGGCCTTTCCTCTGAAAGCCCAGGTTCCTTAGTCTCCTGGATACCTCCCCGTTATGTGCCCTGAACCCCTGCCACACCCCAGGCTCCAGGGATGGCACCTCAGCACCCAGGCTGCACCTGCCTCAGCTCTGCTTTTTCTGCAAAGCCCTCCTAAGTTCACCTTGCACTGGGAACACACCACGTGACCCTTCTCCAAGGCCGACCTCCGCTGCCACTCTTGGGCACACTGTCAGGGTTATGTTGCTACTCACCACGCACAACCCCAGTGGATCAGCATCCCCAGGGGCACATGCTGGCACTTCCTTTGTGGGGACAAGCAAGTCAGACTGGAAGGCTAAAGGGCTGGCCCAAGGTCACAGAAGTATAGTTCCAGCCCATACTGGCCCAGCGTAGGCAGGGGTTGCTTGTTCCTAGTCTGGCCTCTACCTTGGACAGGCCAATGATCCAGGAAGAGGAGATGGCAGTCAAGGATGGGGCAGAAGAGGGTTCATTTTTTCCCTCAGCTATTGCTATGGTTACCTCATAGCATTTGTGGTGATTAAGGACACTCTGAAAACAATTAGGTCACCCTAGAAGCAAGCAATCTGACAAACAGAGTGGGACCTTCCACAAGACAACTGGCCTGATACTTTTGGTTTTTTCAGACAGGATCTCATTGTGTATTCCAGGTTAGCCTGCAACTTGTGGTGATCTTCCTGTCTCAGCCTCTCATGTGTTGTGATAGTTGGCATGTGACAGCACACCCAGTTTGGTCTGGATACTTTAAAAAAATTATACACAACATAAGGAGGTGGAAGAGAAACCATTCTCATTCACATGGCCATGGAGGCACCTTCTAAAGCCCAGCAGTGAGCAGGGTGGCTTCCTTTCCCAGCACGGGATTCAATGGCAGGCATTCTTCCTACCTTCCTTCCATGAACCACTCTTGTTCCCTTGGTTGATGATAATCCTGTGCAGAGCTTGCAGGAAGGCTTAGCAGGCAGAGATGTCCCCCAGGACCTTCTCTGACCACCTGGCTTTATGGCCACCAACCTGGACCAGGTGCTGGTTGAAATCTAAGTGCCAGCCTCCTTCCCACCCCCGCCTCCCACTCCATCTTACATGAACGAGCACTCCTTCCTTCTGGGTCAAGTGAACACCACTCTTGTTTAGCCCAGGGGATGGAACCCAGGGCCTTGAGTGTGCTGGGCAAATGCTCTACCATTGAGTTACACTCCTAGCACCCTTAGTCCAACTTAAATAGAACAGAAAAAAAGTAGAAAACAAAAGGTAAATACATAAAACTACGTATATTCTGGCTTGGGGAGAAAAACAGCCATAACAGAGTTTTGAGGCAAGTGAAAAAATAACAAATTGAATATAAGATGTTGCTGGGTATGGTGGTGTGCACCTATAAACCCAGCACTCAGGAGGCTGAGGCAAGAGAATCCCCATGAATTTGAGGCCAGCCTAGGCTACAAAGTGAGTTCAAGGTCAGCCTGGACTACACAGTGAGACCCTGTCTTAAAAGGACAAAAAAAAAGAATATAAGATGTCACAGAATTACTGTTGTTGGCTGTGATAATGGCACTGTGCTATGAAAGAAAGTCTTTCTTAGAGGAATACTAAGATACTTAGAGGTAATAACTTCACTTATAACTAGCTTCGGGTGACTGAGCATAAAACAATAACAAAGGACTGGGGACAAACCTCAGTATAGCATTTGCCTAGCATGCCTGGGTTTGCTCCCCAGCACTGCAAAACCCCACAGCAGTTAACAGGAATAAAGTGAACAGGAGGAATACAATGAACAGGGCAAAATGTCAACTGCAGAATCCAGGTAGTGGGCAGGCCATTCACTGCATCATTCTGAGCTTAAAATTTTTTTCATTAAAGTTGGGGGAAGCCAGGGGTGGTGGAGCACACCTGTAATCCCAGCACTGGGGATGCGAAGGCAGGACTGCCACACGTTTGAGGCCAGCCTGGGCTACACAATGAGTTCAAGGCCAGCCTGAACAACACAGTGAGACACTGTCTCAAAAAAAAAAAGTTGGGGGAAGAAAGAATGCTCTTTGACCTTGAGCAGGCCAGGTTCTTCGGGGGTAGAACACGACAGAAAGTTTCGGCTTATGGCCAGGGGAGGGATCTGCCCCTCAGTGCTATAGTCTGGCCTTCCCTGAGGTAGGCTAGCAATAGGAGTCATGGTTATCTGGCTCCCCTTCCATGGCCATGGCCCAGAGGCAGCAGGGCCTGACCTCACACTGGAGGCCACTCACCGGCATCCCACTCCAACAGGCTAGGATCCTCCCAACTGCTTCCGGCTGCCGTGCGAATGCAGCGTTTCAATTTCTCTGGCTTGCCTTTCTTCTTGTCTTCACCCATGGGCTCCGGCACCTGCAGAGAAAGGGGGATGGGGTACAAAGGACTTGGTGCTACTTGCTCTCGCACTCTGCTTTGGCCCTTGCCCTCCTTCCTCCAGTTAAAGGACTAGATATGCTTCTGGGTGGGGTATGTGTGTCCGCCTCCCTCTCCCTTGAGTCCTCCCCGCTCTGGACAGAGAACTGTGTATGAAAGTCCACCAGATTCCTGCCTGTCCTCCCACTGCTATGTTTTCTGCTTACCTCAAGAGCCATGAGGCCGGGGGGTGGCTCAGGCCGGGGGGGCCGGGGTCGTGGACGCAGGGACAGGAGCTCAGGAATGCGCAATGGGGGCAGCAGGCCCCGTACTACCTCCAGTGGGAGGGGCAGGGGCTCGGGCTCAGGCAATGGCATGGCCAGGGCCAGCGGCAGGCTGGGGCCGATGACTGCAGGGCCAGCTGGAGCACCTCCTGCTCCCACAGCCACCGCAGCACCAGCCTCCTCCAGCCCAGCCGCTGCTGCCACCACTGCCTCCTCCTTCTCTTTCAGGCCCAGCCCCAGGCCTAGGCCCAGCTCTCGTGGTGCTGCTGGCTCTTCCTATGGGCAAAAGCAGGGCAGGAATGTGTCATCTACATGTACTAACTCTGCACAATGAATGAAGTCACTATATACTGCAAACACATACTAATAAAACTAAAAATTTTTTTAAAAGGGTATGACAGAGCCAGATCACAGGCCCGTATCTTATTAGCCCTATCCATACAGCAAAGCCAGAGAACAAGCAAGAAAGGAAGTCTCTGGTAAGGCACAGAGAAACATAGAGGGACAGACAGACACAGGTAAAAACACAACGGAGAAATGGAGAGGGACAGTCAAAGGAAAAACAGCCACGCCCCCAGAGCACACATTTCTCTCCATACGCTCTTCAAAAAGAAAAATATATTCAGTCACAAGGAATAAAGAAAGAGGGGCTGGGGGTTTAGCTCAGCGGCACAGCGCCTGCCTGGCAAGTGCAAAGTAGTGAGTTTGATTCCCGGTACCAGAAAAAGAAAAAAGAAAAAACAAAAACAAAAGAATAAAGAAAGAGACGAAAACCAGGGATGAATATGATCAAAGTGTGTTATATGCACGTATGAAAATACCAAAACAAAACCCAATGCTCTCCATAATTAACATGAATCAATAAAGAAAGAGATAGAGACAAAGTTAGAGGAATGAGCTAGAAGAAAGGCAGAACCGGCAAGGTCTTCCTGCCCATGGCATTAGTTCCCCACCCACACTTACCAGGGGAGGCCTCAGAGCAGCCATGGAGCTCAGGGGGGGACCTGGGGCGCGAGCCATTGGTGGCAGCATCATGGGTGGTCCAGGGGGCCCAGGAAGAGGGGGTCCTACGAGGGCCTGGTGCGGGGGCCGCAGGGCCATAGGCCGGGGAGCACCTGCTGCAGAAGAAAGAAGAGAATCTGTCAGGGTGTTAGTGGGACAGTCGAGGGGCTTGGGGAGCGAGTTGTGTGGCAGTGATGACCCTGGCCCCCTCACCTGCTCTCTGTAGCACGTGAGGGACGAAGGCTGGACGCAGGATAGCAGCCCTCTGAGGGGCCACAGCTGTGGGAGAGAGAGATGGGGGTGTGTGTCATGGGGGACAGGGGCACTTGGGGCAAGGGGCGCATTGTGCACATGTGCGTGTGTGCATTGTGTTTACTCTCAGCATCTAAGAAATCCTGAAAAAGTCTGGGGATCCTTCTGAGAGATGTGGGGGTCTTTTCTTTGGTTCATTCAGCAAAAACTGACCATAAGGATCTCCCATGGCCCCAGCCTTGGGGCAGATAATGCTTGAGACCCAACATAAACCAAGGGTTCTCAGGAAGCTCCTATCAAGAGTAGGAAGGAGTGGCCACCCAGGCTGATCAGAGCTAGAACGGGGTAAAACCAGGCAGAGGGATCTAGGCCAGGAGATGGAAGGATGGGGGCTGTCAGCTGTCAAAGCCTCTGACCCAGGCAGCAGGACCAGAGATTTCCTGGGAAAAGAAACCTGAGAGCTGAGCCCCAAAGGATAATGAAGAGTTAGGCAGACAGTGAATAGAAATGTTACTGGCAGGGAGAATCTGTATAAGCAAAACCCTTATGCCTTAGCTGGACATGGTGGCATATGCCTGTAATCCAAGCACTTGGGAGGCTGAGGCAGAAAGACAGCCATGAGTTCAAAGCTAGCCTGGGCTACACAGAGTGAGTTCAAGGCCATCCTGACTACATAGTGAGACCTTGTTTCAAAGAAACAAGGAAATAACAAAAGCAGCAACAACAAAACCCTTTTTTTCCTTTTCAGCCTAGCATGACTGTGACAGAAAAGGCGGCAGATTGGACAGCATTATGAGAAGTGTTGCAATGGTAGCAGGTGTCTAAGCACAGCCTTCTTGGCTGAGCCATGACGTCCTTCAGAGGGCACTGTGAGCAGGGCTAGAAGACAGGCAGGATGACTTCCAGCCTTTCGATAAAACCTTACTAAGAGTGTGTTAACACTTCCTAGATGGGGCCTGGGATTTAGCTCAGCAGCACAGCGCCTGCCTGGCAAATCCAAGGTCATGAGTTCCATTCCCAGTACCGGAAAACAAACAAAACAAACAAAAAGACACTTCCTAGATGTTACCAGGTAAACAAGTATAGAAGGATTTAGAAAATGTAGTTAACAAGTCTGACTTAACAGAGATTATATCAGAATTTCACATCCAAATGAGAACACACTTCCTTTTCACATATACAAGGGAGTGATTTGTAAAAATTCTGTGTGTGTGGGCTACCTGAACAGAAGGTGGAAAATACGGAGAATGGCTTGTGGAAAGGACAGGCTGGGACATTACAGGTGACTGAAAGCAGCAGCAAGGAGAAGGGACCTCAACAAAGCCTTGCTTGTACATCTCAGCAATGTTCAGGGCTTCTGGGGAGGCTGTGTGGATCTCTCAAAGGAGCCAGGTCTTGCAGGGTCTTGACTACTAGTAAGGAGCTTAGTGCTTGTTTGGGGATCTGTTAGTCCTTTACTAGTTTCTTTTCTTTTTTTTTTATTTTGTCTTTTTGAGACAGGGTCTCGCTATGCAGTTCAGGCTAGCCTTGAGCTCACCTTGTAGCCCAGGCTGGTCTTGAACTCACAACGATCCTCCTGCTTCAGCCTCCCAAGAGCTGGGATTACAGGCATGCACCACCACGCCCGGCTCTAGCACTTTATTAGATAGTAAGTCATGCTTACTTTGTGGCAGGACCCAAGAATTCTGCCCTTCACAAAACTTGTATTTTATAGGAAGCAAGAACTGATAACCACAATAAATAAATAGTGTAGCTTGTTATAAAGTATTAAGCATAGGGGAGAGATTCAGCAAAGGTTGGGGATTAGGAATGATGATGTGGGGGTCTTTTCTTTGGTTCATTCAGGGGGTTAGTTTGCAATGACCAGGTTAAGCCCAAACTGATTTGAAATAATCAGGAAGTACACAATCAGGTTTGTGCTTTAGGATAATGACAATCCGAGAATGGAAATGAATGGAGAATGCGATTTAAAGCAGCGATTCAGACAAAAGGCTGAAGTCACCTAAACCAGTGTTACTGGTTAAATATGGAGTTCCTGACCCTGACCTACCTGCTCGCCGCAGGAACATAGCTTCTCGAGCCTCTGGACTGTCCAGGTGACTCCGATCAGCAGGGCCAAAGCCAACTGTTGGGAAAGGAAAGATGCGGATGGTGGAAAAAGAGCCCTAAGCATCCCTTCTAACCACCTTGTCTGATCCTCTAACCCTACTGTCAGCCACTCTTTACTTACCTGGGCCCACAAAAGGAGGACCACCCACCATGGGAGGAACTACTGTGGCTGCAGCGGCTGCCCGGGCCTCCAGAGTCTGTTGGACCTGTTGGGAAGAAGGTTGGGATGAAGGGATGAGGGGCTGGACTCAGTGCTCCTAACTGATCCTGGCTGGCTCACCCCAGGCAGTCAAGGCTTTCATTCTTTGTGCTCTGTGTAGGGCTGGGTAACTATGAGCTCTTGGCACCTATGAGCTCTTGGCTAAAATTCACTTCTCAGGGAGACTGTTTTTTTTAATGAGACTGGATATTGCAATGTAGTTCAGGCTGGCCTCAAATCTGAAGCAACCCTCCTGTCTCAGCCTCCCAATCCTGGGAGTACAGGCGTGCGCCACCAGCTGTGGCACAGGGGTTTTTGAGATCACATTAGCTAAAGCAGTCCTTATCCGCTCCTCCGAGCAACTTCTCTAACCACCCCATTGCATCTTCCCCACAGCCCTACCTGAAATAATGTCCAACCTGTCCTTGCCAGCTCCAACACCATCAGCCTAGCCCAAGCCACCATTACCTCTTGCCTAGATCGCTACAGCAGCCTGTTCCTCAGTCTTCCTGACTTTATCCTTGCCCTCTACAATCCAGACAGCCAGAGCAACTCCATCAACTTCAAGTTGAAACACCCTTCTGCTCAAAATCCTCCAACAGTTCCCCATCTGAGTAAAAGCCAAGATCCTTACAGTAGCACCTACGACCCTACTAGATCTCGTTTCCATCACCTCTGTATCTTCTCCCAATGTCTTCTTTGCTCATTCTGTTTTAACCACTGACCTCCCTGGGGTTCCTTGAGCATGAAATTATGTTCTTTGCTGGAATCACTCTTACACCTGCAGTTCCATCACCTCCTTTGTAGCTTTGCTTAAATGTCACTTCCTTACCTTTCTTACCTGTGATGATAAACCTCTGCCTTCTTACTACAACTGGACCTATCTCTTTCTAGGAAAATATAAACTTAGAAGGCATCCAATAACTATTTGTTAACAGAACAAAATGAACCAGTTTCATTTAATACTCCTCTCTCTCTCCTTCTCTTCCTTTCTACTAGCCATATATAAACTGAGTACTGGGCTGGGGATTTAGCTCAGTGGCACAGTGCCTGCCTGGCAAGCATGAGGTCCTGAGTTTGATTCCCGGTACCGGAAAAAAAAAAAAAACAAAAAAATATATAAACTGAGTACTTAAAACTTGAGGTTGAGAAAGCAATTATGAATTTTTAAATATAGAACATTCCCATCAAGTCCTACTGTACAACATGCTCCAGGATATAAAGTACTGTCTTGGTTACTTTTCTCTCGTTGCTGGGACAAAATACCTGACGCCCAAAATTAAGGAAGGAAAAGTTTATTTCACTTACAGTTCGTGGAGGTTTCAGTCCGTACTTGGCAGATTATAACACAGAGTGGCACATGGCAGAGAGCTACAGCTCAGGGTGGCAGACAACAGCAAAAAGCCACAAGCACACACCAGGGCGGAATGGAGGAGGAATGGCTTCAAGCACCCTTTTCCTCTCCCTTATATATGCAAACTATCCACCCTAGGGTGGGTGTAGCTCTCACACCCATCGAACTCTAAAAGCCCGCCCCATGGCCGCTTGAGGCTTTGGGGGGGACACACAGATTCAAACCACAACAAGTACCAAAAAAATACTGTCTTTGTCATTACTACATTCTCAGAGTTTAACATATGAAATACGTGTGGTGCTGTTAGTCAACAGGCCAAAACGTCCCTAGCTCTCCGTATACAAACGCTGTAGTCGAGGCATCGTCCTTACTGACTTATGCCTTAGCTAAAACTTACCTGTTGATATGTGTTGGTTGCAATAATTGGGCGGATCACAGGGGCTGCTGGGACCTGCATCGGGTCTACCGTGGGGACCGTGGGCACCGCAGGCACAGCGGTTGGGATTCCGGTTACTGGAGCCCCTAGAACTTCCTGCTCAAACCTGGGGGTTCAGGGCAGACACCACAGGTCAGGTCCTTCGTCCCCGCCAACATCTCCAGCCCCCACAGCCCCAATACCATCCCGAAGGTCCCACTTCCTCATAACAGAGCCATATCTTGGGCCTGTCGAGGCCCGGAGGCTCCGGGATTCAGTAGCTCTGTTTGGGGATGGCTTTTATCCCTCCCTCTTGCAGGCCTTACAGGGCCATCTCCGCCTCCATTTCCTTCAAGCGTTCCTCGCCGCTCTTGCCCGGGATGCCGGCACCAGGGCCTGGGACCACCGGTCCTCCTGCACCCGGGAGTCCCGGGGCCGGCCCCGCCCCGGCCATTGCTGCTGCAGTCGCTGTCGCGCTACTAGTCTCGATTTAGCCGCCGCCGGTCCTGCTGTCTTACTCTCTGGCTTCGTCAGGGTGGGCGAGCGTAGATGACGTATCAGCTAGAGCGACGGATGCCGGCACAAGACACTATATATCCGCGAGCGAGGACCAATAAGATGAAGCCACACCCCCAAGAAGGCCTGCTAGCCTACCAGAGTGCCGTAAAGAAAGATTGACGGAAAGAACTGGGTCTACCCGGGCGCAGCGGAGGGAGGCGGCCACGCCCGGATGGAGGAATGTGGCTAATCAGAGCAAAGCAAAGTCAGTTGGCCCCATCCCTGATGTGGAATCTGGACCTTTGAAGACGCAGGAAAGTTGGGAGGCCCCTCCCATGCCACCGCGCGTCCCGCGCCAGGAGTTTATAAACGCTGTGAGGTCCGCGTCTACCTCGGCGATGGTCACGACTGGAGACCCAGTGTAGGTGAGGCACTCCTCCAATGAGGTGGACACAAGACTACCGAAGACCAGAGACCGCATGGTGGAAATTCGCAGGAAGCTCTGACCCAGTTTTCTGGAGAAGGGGGCATCTGAAAACATTTGCTAGAGAAAATGGGGAGAAACGTTCTAGAAAGAAGCCACAACTCATGCCAAGGCAGAGAGCACGGGTTCTGCGCTCTTTCTTAGGAAACATACTTTTTTTTATGGTCCTGAAGGCTTTTTATTACGACTTTTCAAACATACATATTAGAGGGGATAGTATAAAGAACCCTGTCCTCATGTATCTCAAACACTACCAATATTATACACTTTCAGTTTCATGTCTATAATTCACTTATTTTTCTTGGAGTATGCTAAAAACAAATTCCAGACATCTACCAATTCACTCATAAATGCGTCAGTATATCTAACAGATGAAACAATTTTTTAAAAACCCATGAAGTATGCTGTTGTTATCACCATCACATTATTCTTTTGGGCCGGGCGTGGTGGCGCACGCCTGTAATCCTAGCACTAGGGCGGGGAGGGTGTTGAGACAGGCGGATCACCTCAAATTCGAGCCCAGCTGTACTACATAGTGAGTTCAAGACCAGCCCGAACTACATAGTGAGACCCTGTCTCAAAAAACAAACCAACAAAAAAATGCCTTAGTTTCATTGAATACCCAGACTATGTTCCAAAAACCCAGACTGTTCAATTTTTCCTGACTCAAAAATCTCACTATACAGTAGAATTATAAAATCAGGATGCAAATAAGATCACACATTATATTTGGCTGGTTGATCTCCTCCCCAGTCAAAATTTACTGGTTGTCTTGGTTGGTTTGTTTGTCTTTTTGAGACAGGGTCTGCTATGCAGTCCATGCTGGCCTTAACCTCACTTTGTAGCCCAGGCTGGTCTCAAACTCGAAATGATCCTCCTGCCTCAGCCTCCTGAGTGCCGGGATTACAGGCGTGTACCACTACATCCAGCCCAAATTTTATTTAGATTTTTAGTATTTGCTTAGTCCTATTCTGCTCCAGGATCTTGTCCAGAATACTGCATTACATGTAGCTGTCATGTCTCTTTTGAGTTCCTTTTGTCCTACTGTTGTTTTGATTTTTTCAAGACAAGGTCTCCATATGCAGTTCAGGCTGGCCTTGAGCTCACTTTGCAGCCCAGGCTGGTCTTGAACTTGTAAGGATCCTCTTATCTCAGCCTCCCAAGTGCTGGTATTACAGGCATGCACTATCATGCCTGGCTTTTATGAGTTCCTTTTGCCTGTGACAATTTCTTATACTCTCCTTTGTTTTTGACTTAGACAGTCTTTTTTTTCTTTTTGAGACACGGTCTATGTAGTTCAGATTGGCCTTGAACTCACTAAATAGCCCAGGCTGCCCTCAAACTTGCAGCAATCCTCCTCTGTCTAGCCACCAAAGTGCTGGGATTGCAGGCGTTCACTGCCCCACTTGGCAACTTTCACAGCTTTTCGGAATGCTTTTTAGGTATTTTATAAAGGTTCCTCCTTTGGAATTTACCTGATATTTTTCTCCACATTAGACTGGAGCAATGGATCTTTTGGGAAAAGACCACAGAAGTAAAGCTCAATTCTTAGCATGTATCAGTGAAGGCAAACCTTTGAGAGCTTTCGATAACAGCTAGCTGTGGCAAACACGCCGTAGCTTTGCTACCACTGATACTGTCCACATGACTTACCACTGTGCATATTAACTCTCATCACCTGGCTGAAGTGCTTGAGGCTTCTCCACTATAAAGTTACTTTTTAAAATATCTCCTTTCCATGTTCCTTAGAAAGTCATTATGTGCAGCCACAAGTGAGTGGGGAGTTATGCACCACTTCCTCAACAGTGGAGTATCTACATAAATTATTTAATACTGTGTTGTGTGGGAGATTTGTCTATGTTCCTCTTTTAATCATTTATATCAGTGTGGACCCATGCAATTCATATTTTGGGTTATAATTCAATACTGCTTTTATTTCTCTAGTTGTCCCAACTTTTAACTCTTGTTTTTGTTGTTCTTGTTCCAGTGCTGGAGACTGAGCCCAGGGCCTCATGAATGGTAGGTAAGCATTCTACCACTGAGCTATATTCCTGGTCCTACTCTTAATTTTTTGAGACAGGGTCTTGCTATGTAGTTCACACTGGCTTTGAACTCCAGGCAATCATTCTGCCTCACCCTCCTGAGTGCTGGGATTATAGGTGTGTGGTACCACATCCAGCGCTTAGATTATTTATAATACTCAAAGTAATGTAATATAGTTGTGTTGTTAAGGGCAAAATGACAAGAAAAGTCTGTGTGTGTTTAGTAAGGATGAAATTTATTTTTCAAATATTTTCAATCTCTGGTTGGTTATTAACTTGATGGATGTGTTTATTATTTTTATTTTTATTTTTTTGCGGTACTGGGGATCAAACTCATGACCTTGTGCTTGCCAGGCAGGCACTTATGCCACTGAGCTATATCCCCAGCCCCTTGATGGATGTGTTTAGATGAGGAACTCTCAGATATAGGAATGGGGATGGTGACTACTTCATAGGTAGAGCTGTCATATTGTATCTCATTGTATCCCATCAGGAACACAAGACATTATGCTTCTTCCTCCTTTGATGAGGTTGACTGACCAGCTAAAAGCTTTGGCAACCCTTGACTTGATGGTTATTATCTGTATCTGTCACTTAATGGAAGGAAAATAGTGGCTTTTGAGTCTTGGAACATCTTTTCTGAAAGTTGTCTATTTGTGTATTTTTCCTGTTCTTCTGTGGCTTTAGAATATTTCTTTCCCAGTTTGAATTCACACAGATACGTAGAAACACACACATGCACACATATTTATGGTATAAGTTGCAAATATTTTTGTCAAACTTGTGGTTTCTTTCCATTTTCTTTTTTCCATGCAAGGGCTTATTTTTTTTTTTTGTCTTTTCCTTTAGGTTTACTTTCATGTAGACAATTCTGTCAGTATTTCCCCTTATTACATCTGGACTTTGAGTCATATCTAGGCAAGTTTTCCCTACTTACAGTTTATAAAAGGGTTCAACTTCATAGACCTCACATTCTACTCAAGGGAGTGAAAAGATAAAGAGCACCCTGTATGTTAGATTTGTCATGGACAAAAACTGAGCAGGGAGGATGGCTGAGGGCGCTCACATTTAGAGTCCGATAGGAAGGGGGGCTCAGTTTGGAGGGGGGGCCAGGACCCATCTGTGGGAGGGGGCACTAAGGACTGTGCAAAGGACAGCAAACGTATAAAGACGGGACTAGCAGCCAGGGATGAGGAAAGCCAGGAGAGGTGGCTCTGCAGGGCGAGAGATGTAAGGAGGTAGGTAGAAAGGAAGGATCAAGATCACAGAGATGTCAAATCTCCCTGATTTGTAAGTGTATCATGCAACTAATAAAAGTGGTTATTTTTCTTTTGGAACCAGGCCAGTTAAGTAGTTTTGTTTTCACTTGGGAGAAAAAAAAATTAGCAACAAGAGGCTGGGTTAAAAAACTAAAGGCACAGGGCAATCCCGTTTCCAATGTTACCATGTGTTACAAACCTTCATAATGAAAGCACTGTGGCAGCAGCACATGGAGAGTTACATATACACTGGGTCTGGGAAGAACTAGGATAGTCTTTTTTTTTTTTGAGACAGGCTGTTGCTCTGTAGTTTAGGCTGGCCTTGAACTCAAGGCAATCCTGCCTCAGCCTCAAGTGATGGCATTATAGAGGTGCACCACCACATCTGGCAAGACCGTCTAATTAAACACAGACATTTGGTGTAGGAAAATGGGATATTTTAAACCAGTGGGTAAAGTTTTACTTTATAATGGAAGAATAATCCACACAGTGAAATGCACAAGGCCATAAGGGTACAGTGAAGGCAGGTATGGCACATGCCCGTAATCCCAGCACTCGGGGAGGCTAAGCCAGGAACACTGTTGGTTCAAGCTTAGCCCAAGCAACTTAGTGATTCAGTAAGACCCTGTCTCAAAATTAAAAAGGGCTGGGGATGTAGCTCAATGTGAAGGATCTGGATTCAATCCCCAGTACCCCACCTCCTCCCATACACAAGAGGTGAGTTCTGACCAATCTCTAGACCAGGGGAACCCATACTGCTCCTGATATATACTTCCATTACTCTAGAGCAGTGACGTAACATTTTAGAGCTTTCAATGATATGACCAGCCTCCTGCGGCACGCATGCCAGGTTCACCACCACTGCCCTAGAGCTTCCTTCTCTCCTCCTTTCAACCCTGCCGCTCACTCCCGTTTCAGCAGCAACTGCTGCGCTGCCTGAGAAGTTACTAAGTGCTCCTGGGATAGATGTGAAATCACACAGCGTTGAATGTGTTTGCAAGGCTAAATTCCAAATGCCCAGATTTAAATGTCAAAATACGAAAACTCTAAAAATTCTAAGAAAATCTTCTCTTAACCCCGTCCCACCTTCCCCTCTACAGGGCTCCTCAGTGGCCCTCACAGCAGTACATTTCACCACCCAAGTGCGTGCTGGAGCCTCCCTGACACTCATGTGGCTCTGCTCGGGCCCTTTACAGTGTACTCTGTTTAAAAACCATACCTCCTATGCCTGCTTTATTTCCTCACAGCAGTTTTCTTCCAACATAACTGCATCTTACTTACCTCACCAACTGTCCCCCACCCATCACTTCCTAAAGGTAGGGACTTAGGGCCAGTTTGTTCAGTGCTGTATCCCCAGCGCCCAAAGAAGGCACTCAGTTAATTTGCTGAGGGTGAAAGTGATGCAGGAACCTTAAGGGGTGCATGGAGTGTGCCCCCAGATACCCCATTCTCTTGGCTGTGGTGGGATGAAAGGGCAGGGTAGGAATAGAGGGGAGCAGCAGAACGGCCCAAGGGGGACTGCAGGTATGTGCAGGGACTACAGGCTGCCTATCCTGACCATGCTTTCTTTTGACTATTTTAGTAGGGGAGGAGGGGTGCTGGGGTGAAATTCTTGGCTCTACATTGAGCCTCTTCCTCATCTGCACAGGTGCTGCAGAGCCCCCTGTGCCTGGACCCAGCGCAGGCGCCACTGTGGCAGGGACAGGCCCTGGCAGAGCTCCTCGGAGAGGGCGGCTTGGCCTGGCTGCTCCCACCTGGGAAAGGGCATGGCGTGAGAAGGAAGCCCGGCCCTCCAGACCCCCACGGGCCTCCTACCATCCCCAAGGCCTGAGTCTCACTTTCTACCCAGCTCAGGGCTCCTTGCCCCACTTCCCTCTCTTACCAGTCCCCCACGACCCCCTGGAGTTCTGGGATTCGTTCCAGCGCCTGTTGCAGCACGTTCTCCAGCCTCTTCAGAGCCTGCCCCAGGCTCTCCTTTTGCTCCTTTTCCTGGGATGCCTGGATCTGCAGCAGCTCTGGAGGGTAGAAGCCCGGGAGACAGCATTGAGTCATCTGGCTTGTTGGAGCCTCCCAGCCAACGGGGTCACCAAATCTCTAGTCACCTAGTCCTGTCCCTCCGTCGAGTCCTCATCTCAAGGGCAACCCCACCACAGCAGGCCTCATCCTGGACACTTCCTTCCTTCCCCACAATGGCCCACCAGTCTGCATGGCCCACCCACTCAGGTTTCCAAGTCTCCTCCTCTGTTCCCTACTGTTCCTGTTAGCCTCCCTCCTGGGCCCCAGGCCCATAACCCACTCTGGTCACCCTCCATGCGGCAGCTAGAATGATCTTCCTGATGCCCAAACCTGTTGTCCCCTCTAGCCACCCCTAGGAACCTTTCAAGGCTCCCCAGTGCCCCCAAGCTCCTCAACTTGGTATTAGTGTCGGGAAAAATCTGTCCTCACTCCAGGGCCCGAGTGAAATACCATCTTTCCTTTGGAAAACCCTTGCCAGCACCTGCTATCTCTTCAGCCTGCTCCAGCCCTTTACTCCAGGGGTTCCCGCCCACCCCCCCAGGACTGTGACTGGGCCTCGTTCTTCTCCATGTGCCCAAAGCAGGCCTGGCCAGAGCAAGTGTGGATGAGCCATGTGGTTGGACCTCTTGGGCCTCAATCCTGACTTTGTCCCATCCTTGCCCTGCGACCTCAATCTTTGACCCTTGTCCTTTCTTTAGCTATCTCTGCTGTCAGACAAGCGTAGCTGTAGGCTAGTGGGGAGAGACAAATTGGAGAGCTTGGGACATGGGACCCACAGGACTCACTGGCAGGTTGAAGGGGGGCAGTTAGGGAGGTGGAAAGAATAAGGGTTTCTGCAGTAGCACCTGGATGAGGAAGACAGGATAGTTATGAGGGGAAGAAACCAAAGGAAGAGGAACAAATAGCTCTTTGCAGTAAAGAGGACTGAGAGTTCTCATACAGATACGTTAAAGTTCAAGACGCCCATGAGGTGGGGACATGTTATGCCATGTCTCAAACTGTTCTCCTGTTCCTGCACATTTCCTTGTGGAGAAGTGCAAGGCAGGGAGCCCCAAACTCAAAAGCCTCGATGTTTTTCTTTCTACTTGGCTGATGGCACCCTCAATTCTATTTTTTCCCCAATACTGGGGACTGAACCCAGGCCCTTCATAGTGAGCCATAGCCCCAGCCTTTTTTATTTTGCAATGCAATCTCATTAAGCCACTAGGTTGCCCAGGCTGGGCTCTGACTGGTGATCCTTCTGTCTCAGCCTCCCAGAAAGCTGGGATTACAGGTGTGTCTCACTGCACCCGGCTCTCCTAACCCATTCCTTATCAATTCACCTTCTATCTGTTTATCCTTTGATTCCTTCCTATTTGCTTCTACCACGGGAAATCCCTTGGGGCTAGGTAGTTCTCCTCTCATACTCCATCAAGCTGTCTGGGCCAGCACCTGGACTTCACAGAGTTTGTTTTCTCATCTGTAAACTGTGAGGCTTAATAATCCTTCCCTTCACAGAAGGATTCAGAGACGGTGTGTACGCAGACAGTTATTATAATCACAGCAGAGACACAAAATGCTTGCTGCAGGCCTAGCTGAATCTTCCCAGCAATTCTCTGATTCTTACTATGCTTACTCCCCTGAGGACGAAGCTGAGGAATGGGCAGATCACACAGTGAGGAGAAGAAAACACTGAGAAAAAAATCCTGGTGGTTTAACTCCACAGCCCAGCTTCGAACTGCTCAAGTACACTATCTGATGTGATGAGTACTTGGCAGACGGGTGGTCAGTATTGCCTAGTGGTTAGGAGCACAGACCCAGGCTACTGGGGTTCAAATTCCAGCTGTCATGTGGGCAAGATACTAAGCCCTCTGCATCCCAGCTCCGTCCCCTGTAAAATGGGGAGAAGAGCAGTACTCACCAATGGGCTTGCTGTGTATGTTTAACAACTGAGTGTGTTCCAAGCACACAGTACACACTGCGGAAGCAGTAGGTGTGGATGCTGTGAATGAGCAGGGCGCGGGGTATGGGAAACAGAGCAGCCTACCCTGTGTGGGTGGTCCCGGAGGCAGACTGGTCTTCATGTGAAGTAGATCCCAGCACCGGAGACTCTGCTGGTCCTGGAGGAACAGAAGGTCCTGGCGAAGAGAGGCAGCCTTCGGGAGGAGCAGCTCTGGTCCCTGGAGGGAGGGGAAGGACAGTCACCGAGGGCAGGGGTAGGGATGGTGATGGGCAGGCAGTCCTAGGGGACAGGCACTTACCTTCCCCGCAGGCAGCCCCAGTGTGTGGCTCAGTGCTATGAGGTTGAAGCCCTTGGGGGATGCGGGGTGCAACTGGTGGATGGACGGTAGGATCGTGGGCAGGGGCGTCAACCTGGGGAAGAAGACCAGCCTTGATGGAGCATGGAGAGAAGGGCTTGAGTTCCAGAAGCTCCGGGGCCAAGGAACTTGAAGGCAGACCTGGGGACTAAGATGTTAGACTGGGCGTGGTAACCTGAGGGTAAGGATGGACAGCCTAGGAACACTGGGGTGACTGCTTTGGAGGAGGTTCAGGGAGTGACAGACCAAGGGCAGGGGAGATGGCAGCTGGGCTTCAGAGATTACCCTTCGGGTCTGTGCCGCAGCAGGGTGCTCAGCAGAATGTGAGGCAGGTGCCGGGCTCCCTCTTCCAGGCAGCTCAGCAGCTCTTGGCTCTGTGGTGCCACCGCCTCAGAGGCGGGGATCACCTTTTGTTTAACCAGAGCCAGCACCTGTTGGGAGGGAGAGGTATGGGTGAGTGGTCTGCATGGACCCAGACCTATCCCCAGCAGATCTAGTCCCCAGCCCATCCCCCACCCCAGACATCATCACCCAAATTCCCATCTCACCTCCCCGGGGCTCCGACCCAGGCGTGTCTTACTGGCTGAGTTTCCCTTGATGAGGAGGCGAATCTGTTCCTGGGTCTCCCCCTAAGGAACCAGGAAGCCATGGAGACTAGCTGGATGTCCTTCTCACATCCCAGGCTGAGGCCACCCCTCTGCACAGGTCCTGCTTCCCCCCGGGGGTCTCACCCTGGGCCCCCTCCCTGCCCAGTGCTTGATCACAAGGCCCCACGCCTTGGTTCTTGCCCTCTGCCAGGCCCTGTCTCTCACCACCCGCTGCCGCCAGTGCAGAATGCGTTGCTGCTTCGTCTGTAGCTCCCGCAGAAGAAGCTGCCGATGTCCAGATGCATCCTCCAGCTCCTGGCGCTGGGCACACAGGGCTTTGAGCTCTGCCTTCAGGCCACAGCCTCGAAGACCCAGCATTAGCACCTTCCTACAGGACAAGCAGAAAAGAGCAAAGGAGAGGGAGGAAACTGACACCCACTCTAGGAAGGGAGATGCAGCCTTCAGGCATGCACCATAAACACACAGATACCTCAAGGAAAGGGAGGCAGGGATGGGAATCACAGGGACAGAAAATGTTCGGGTCCTGAGACACCTAGAAGAGAGACGGCCTAGAGGCCTCTGCCAAGGGAGCCCCTCACCTCTCACTGGGTCCAAGGCTATGTCTTTCCACCTCTTCCATCAGGCCCTGGAAGCGGCCAGTCAGGATCCGATGCTCCTTCAGAAGGGCTCCCCGCTGGGTGACCAGTGCACCCACAGCCTGCCAGCCCTCCTGGGGGCAGGTACAAGGTCTGTGTGAGCATGGCCCATGGGAGTGAGGGGGTTGGGGATACTGAGAGAGTTAGCCGGAGGTTACCTGGATAAGGTGCACCATGGATGGCAAGGCTTGGCTGAAGTCGGCCGGGGCCAGGGCTGGGGGCCTGTATAAGGGCACAGCTACTGAGGGAGCAGCCAGTGTTAGCCTGCCCACTGCATCAGGCACTGAGATCCAGTTCTGCCCCACCAGCAGCTCACTGTGCCTGATCCTAGCTGTCCCAGCTCACCCACCTGCCCACCTGCCCTGCCTGGGAACGCTCCACTCCACACCTGGATTTCTCCGTGTCTCTGAGCCCATCCCCACCACACAGGGACCGGATCTCTGCCTCCCGCTCTGCAGCCAGGTACTCCAGGGCAGCCAGGATGTGGCCTGGGGGGTGGTTTGTCAGCAGTGTCTGAGGAGCAGGAAGGGTGAAGTCAGGCCACTTGGGGGGCTGGGCAGTAAGCTGGGCCCCCACAGGAATGAGACAGTAGGATGGAGGGTCAGGAGCTGGTACCCTGAGGTTCGATCGTGGGTCTAGAGGGTGTGGCCTTTCTAAGAATCCCACCTTCTCACCTCTACTGAGCTAAGCCACTGCTGGTAAGAAGTTCCAAAGTGGTCATCATGAGGGCTTCTGTGGGGTTGGGTAAGGGGACAGGAATGTTACAAGACACCTCGGTTATCCCTTTACTTTTCACCACCACCCTACAAGGCAGGGGCTCTCACATGAGGAAACTGAGCCCATCTATACCTGCTAGATTTCAGTCTGTTAGCCTGGCTAAGCCTCCTCACCAGAGTACCCCACCCTTCCCCCCCCCCCTTAGCACTCTCATCCTTCCCCATCCCCCACAGACCTGACCACCTGGCCATGACTGCCTGTTACGGGTATGTCTCTTCCTTTTTCCAGCTTGGGAGCCTGGAACTGATATAGCCTAGAAGCTCAACATCTGAGGGATTAAAAGAGTGATTTCCCGCCTCCAAAGCCTAGGCTGTTTGAAGGGTTCCTGGAGCCGGGGGACACTCACTGGACACTGCCTCCCCTGGCCTGGGGCATCAGGAGGTTCTGCAGGAACTGGGCCCGGAGGGTACAGGCTGTTCGGACATCACGCTAGGGAGAAGAGGATGGGACATGAAGGGCATGCAGGTGTCTGCCTGACTCTGAACTCCTCACCCTTCCCCAGGGCCCAGGACTTACCAGGACCACAGGCTCCAGGGCCAGGGATGCTGATGCCAGAGGTCCAAGGGTTACATCTACTTTGGCTTTCCTGGAGGGAGGAATGCAGTTAGGGCTCACATGCCTGTGCCCCATCTCCTCCTACTGCCAGTGTGGTCAGGCACGGAGCTTGCTGAGCCTGGGCCCCAGAGCCCACCTTTTGAGATTAGGCCTCTCCCATCTCACAGCAGGACTACTACCTTTAGCCTGCTTCACTGGTCTCCATGCTCTTGCCCGCCCCCACTGCAGTCTGTTCTCCACCTAGTGGTCAACAATCTTGGTAAAACCCAGCTAAGATTATACTGCTGTTCCCAACCTCCACTGCAGTAGATATTTTCCCATCAAGCTACAGTGGTTACCAGGCACCCCTCTGAGCACTTTACACAACTCACCTAATTATCATCCCCAGTGTAAAAGCCTGGTATGAACATTAGGTCTACTCCACAGATCTTGTATTGAGGTGCCAAGAAGTTACTCTGCCCAAAGCCACACTATTGTAAATGGCCACGCCAAGGCCAGAACTGTCTGAGTCAAACTCCAATGCCTCCAGGGCATCCAAACTTGTCCAGGCCCCCTCCTCACCCAGCCCCACTTGCCTGAGAAACCTGGGCTGAACTGGTTTCCTCGCTATTTTTTTTGTTTTTGTTTTTTGGTACCGGGAATCAAACTCGGGACCTTGTGCTTGCCAGGCAGGCGCTTGTACCGCTGAGCTATATTCCCGGCTCGGTTTCCTTGCTATTCGTCCCACAGGACAAGGTCGGACCTCTGCTCTTGCCCTCTCCAAGGAAATTCCTCCCCCAACTCAAGTGTTACTTGCTCATGGTTACTGCCTGCCTCCCCTCCTCTTTGTCATATGGCCTTGAACTTATCTCTACCTGAAACTGCAGAATCTGTTTCTCAGTTTATGGACTGCCTGTTTTGCATCAGAGAGTAAGCTCCAGGAGAACAGGGAGCTGTTCTGTGTCTAGTTGTTTTTTCCAGAGTTGGTGTTCTAGATATAAAGTTGGCACCACTCTTGGTCTTTTAAGGATGACTGCCCTGATGAAGGCTGGTCCCTTGGGCACTGAGCCCCACCTCTCTATTTCCTGCAGGCGCTTGAGCTGATTCTGTAGCCGCTGCATGGGGTCTCGGAGCCCTCGCTTCTGTCTTCGCACAGCCCCAGCTTGGGCCCGGAGGAGAAGAGCTCGATGCTGGGTGTCTCGCATGCTCTGTAGTGCCTGCTCTGTTGCTATGTCTGTGGGAAGAACAGGGCTGGTCGTCAGCATCTCCCCAACCCTGTATGCCACTGCCCATCTGCCTGGCCCCATGGGTCACCCTGAGTTTCATTCTCTTGCTCCATCAGCTCCAGGCTCTGGTCTAACTCTTGGATCTCTGCCCTTAGGCGTGACACAGTGGTTTCCAGCTCCAACTTCCGGCGGACCTGGTGGGGTCAAGTATAAGGTCAGATGCTTGCTTTACAGGGGCTTAGTCTGGCCTGACTAGTTGAGGGGCACCAGGTTTCTCGTCCATGGAGTGGGGGCGTGGCAGAGGGTTTCTTCTAAGCAGGCTAAGGTACTATCTGGCTCCCTCCTTTCTCCTGGGATTGCTTCCCCGAATCTCTCAGCCTCTGCCCTTTATTTCTTCCTCTCTCTCTCTCTTTTTCTGGTATCAGGGATTAGGGGACTGAACCTAGGGTGTTCATACTGATCTTCATTTCCCACCTTTTTTTGAGACAGGGTCTCAGGCTGTGCTCAAACTTGTGATCCTCCTGCTTCAGCCTCCCAGAGTGCTGGGACTGAGGTGTGCACCACTACACCTGGCTTCCCAACCTGTTTCTGTCTATGCTGGTGACACCCACATTTCTGTTCCAATCTTGATCTCTTCTCTGAGCTTCACATCTGGAGTACTGAAGCCTTCTGAAAGCCTCCACCTAGATGTCATCTGGGCACCTGGGACCCAGTGGGTCCCTTTCTGGCCTCAGCATTTCCCCTCACCAGTTTTGATGCCTTTCCCGCTCTTGCCTGCCTTACCCTGGACTGCAAACCCCGGGAGGGCACAGGGATTAGGGCTGTTTGATAACCCAGTGTTTTCAGCATACTCAGCATCAGGCTGGGTCTAGATCAGAAGATCTACAAGTTCTATGTTGGATGAAAGAGAATTGTATAGCACAGGTTTCTTACCTCTGGACTGTCCTGGTGGCCATACCTGAAGAAATGAGACCATAGTCAGGAGATGACTGGGGCTTCCAGGGAGAGGGCAGAAAATGTAAGGCTATGGGTAGGGACAAGGTTAGATGGGAGGGGAACATAAGAAGGGATGGCTCTGAGAAGCATTTACCAGAGCAGGTTTCCCCGAATCTTCTTGACATTCCTGCAGTGGAGAGATGGAGGAAGGAGTTACTGTGGGACTTGCTTGTGACCCCTTTCCTCCTCCTCCCTTTGCCCAGCATGGCTCACCTCTGACTGTGCACATGCTGCAAGACGTAGGCCCAGATGTCAGCTCCCTGGCCCAGACACAGCCTGTGGGGACAGTGCATAAAGGTTGCCTGGGGCATCAAACAGGTGGAGCCTCACTTCCTGGGTGATGACTGTGTAAGGAGCCTTTACACACTTCTGGAGGAGAAAAGGCTCATGCTTGGGGTGGGGGGGGAGAGATATTACCTCCTTAGTCACTGAGAGAGTGGGCTTCTCACTATGGGAGTACACTCATTCCTTGCTATTCGTCCATGGGACGAGTACACTCATTCCATGGTGCGCGGTGCTCCCTTTCTCCTGGGAGAGGGTCAGCTCCAGTCATTTCCGAAGGTGGGGTGAGGGACGTATGTGAGAATTGCTCCTGTGACTAGACAGGCGCCATCCCTCCTACAGATTCAATCCCTAGCGGGGGCTGTTACTGCTAACTCCTGAGCGTCCTCATGGCTAGCGTTGGGTGGTGGTGGGGAGGTGCTGCCGGGCAGCCTTACTTTGGAGACCCCGTTTTCACAAGGGAAGGGGTCTGCATCAGCTGAGAGACAATCCTCACCGGTGCCAGGGATCCCGCTCTGGGCGGCATCGCGGGGGCGGTGTAGGAATGTGAGGGTCACAATCGGGGCTCCTCACTCAAATCCAGAATCTTCTCCCTGAACATACTATTACTGGGGTGGGGAGCGCTCAGTAACTCGGGGGGCGGGGAGGTATCCGCGTCCTCGATGGGGGTTGGGCTCACTCTAGAAGCATCTGTCACCAGATGGGGAGCCGTCACTCCCGCAGCGGCCTCACCTGCGCAGCGTGGACTCCGGGGCCCGGGCTACTGCGGGAACTCCCATCTCTTCGGCCGCCCAGCGACCCAATTCCCGCGCTTCCTGCGCTAGCTCCATGATCCAGCCTTGGCCTCTGCCTCCCGCCCTCTCTTCAAGTGCGGCGCCTTCTTCTGACGTCACTAGCGCGCCGGCGGTGGCGTCATCAGTTGTCAGACAGATTCCCTCCGCTGCGCTGCCCTGTTGTCCAGCTGTCCTGTCGTCCAGCTGTCCTGCTGAGTGTTACTGTTCTCGCCCTTCCTGCGGGGGTCGCATTGACTGAAGGTGACAAGGTCGCAGAGAGATGTTGGCACCCGCTCGCTTTCTGTCGTCGTCCCGCTCACCACCCGCTGTTCCCGAGGAGGCACAACGTCCTGAACACTTCCCTTTGCGTTCCGGGCAAATGGGGCTTCTATCCTAAGAGAACCAGAGGAGATCCTAAACTTACTGCTTTTTCTTTCTGCTTCTCTTTTCTTCCGTTCTCTTTTTTGTGGTACTGGAAGTTGAACCCAGGGTCTCACATTGCGTACATCCCCAGCCCTTTTTAGTTTTTAAATTTTATTTTAAAAATATATTTACTTTTAAAATGTATATTTACTTGATTTTTATATTTTATTTCATTTATTTTGTGGTACTGGAAATTGAACTTACGGTCTCATGATGCTAGGCAAGCACCGTACCAGTGAGCCCCAGCCCTGCTTTCTTTTATTATTATACATATTTTTTTTGAGACTGGGTCTCACTCAGTCGCTAAATTGCCCAAGCTGGGTTCAAATTTAACAAGCTTGGTGGTTCAGCCTCTCAGAGTGTTGGGATGACAAGCCCGGCTACTTACTGTTCTTTGATTTTAGTTTTATTTTTTATTTTAGTTTATTTTGGGTGCCAGGGATTGAACTCAGGACCTTGCACTTGCCAGACAGGTGCTTGTGCTGCTGAGCTATATCCCCAGCCCCGTTCTTTGATTTTAGAAACACGGTGTTTCTTGTCTGAGTGGGGAGGAGAGGCAGATAGTATGATACTAATATCTCCCTGGCATGCAGTCTTCCAGGTGTTCGTTCTTGCTTCCCATTTCCTAAATGTTAGTGGAGCAGACGCTATCCTGCTCGATGCTTGGGACACTAGTGACAGGACAGCCCCGGTTCCCATGATATGGAGGTCATAGCTCTGTGGAGGAGGTAGATGCATGACTAAGTAGGAAATAAGCAGCAAGGCTGGGTGAATTTGGGCCACAAAGAGCATAAATGGTCTATGGGATGGCCCAGGAGCTTGAGAGTTCTGGAGAGCCCACCAGGCTCCAAGATAGCAATCTGGATGTGTAGGGGAGTGAGTGTGAGGCCCAGAGCAGAAGAGAACTCAGCTCAGATAGCGCCCTGAGAAATGGCCAGCTTTAAGGACCTTTCACTCACCACTGTGTCCAGCACAGAACCTGGCTCTGTCAATAGTTTTTGAATAAACAAACAGAGGGGAAGGTGATGGTATGAAACTAAACCTGGGTATTCAGGGAAAAGGCAGGAGCAAGATGGGTGGGGGCAGTGTTGGGCCAGAATGGGCTGAGAGGAGGAGACTGATGGGTCTGGCCCTGGAGTTAGACTGTGGTGGTGATGGTAGACATCCACGGTAAGGTTCAGGGCTCTGGCCTGGGGCTTGGATCTGGATGGGACAGATCTTCAAATGGGAACCTGGAAGAAAGAGCAGCCTCAAGGCAAAAGTTGAGGACAATGTGAAAGCCTGTTAGGTGTAAGGAGCCCAGGAGACATGCAAGGGGTGGTTCAGGCTTCTGATCCAGGGACAAAGGACCATAATCACCACTAAGATAGCAGGTTTGAGGGAAAAGGTAAGGGTACATTCGGACACTTCTCAAGGACTGAAAAGTTGAAGAGAGTGATGTTGGTTGCCGGGCAGACCAGTGGGCTTTCAGGAGAAAAGACTGGCATCTGAGACCCCTCAGTGTCTGGTTTCTCAACAGCTGCCATATCCCCCAAGTATTCCCCCGGGAACTTTGAACATGTTTGAGAACTTTAACATAAATTAGTTGTTAAGAGAATGAGAAGATCTTGTTTTGAAATTTTGCATTAGCCGGGCGTGGTGGAACACACCTGTAATCCTAGCACTCGGAGGGGCTGAGGCAGGAGGATTGTTGTGTGTTCGAGACCAGCCTGGGCTACAAAGTGAGCTCAAGGCCAGCCTGAGCTGCATTTTTAGATCTTGTCTCAAAAAGATTAAAAAAAAAAAAAAAAAAAAAGAACTTTCGTATCTTTTTAATGTTTTTAAAATTTTTTTATTCTCTTTCAAATAAAAAAAGATACATTCTAAAAAAGGAAAAAAAAAAAAACAGAATGAAAAGATAAGTTGCAGACCAGGAGAAAATATTTGCAAACCACAAACCTTATATAGAACTTGTATCTAAAAGATATGAAGAACTCTTAAAGTTCGACAGTAAGGAAAAAAACAACCCAATTAAAAATGCGCAAAAGGCATGATCAAATATCTCACTAAAGATGCATAAATGAAAAATAAATGAAAAGATGCTCAATATCATCAGGGAATTGCTAATTAAAATAGGCTGGAGATGGTGGTACACACTGTAATCCCAGCACTCTAGTTGAACCAGGATGATCAGAAGTTCAAGTGAAGCCAGGGAAACAGTAACCAAGAGGCCCTGTCTCAAAACAAAAGAGGCTGGGGGTATAGTTCAGTGGGAAGGCCCTGGGTTCAATATCCAGTACTACAAACAACAACAGTGGAGCACTTGGGAGGCTTGGGTAGGAAGGACCTGAGTTTTAGGCCAGCCTGGACTGTAGAGCAAGACCCTGTCTCAAAACAAAAATAAAAACAAGAACAACAAAAAAAACCAAACCAAACAAACAAACAGAAGGCATACGATTACACATCTCCTAGAATAACCAAAATCCAAAACACTGACAACTCTAAATGTAATTGGAGCAAAAGGAATTCTCTTTCATTAGTGGTGGGAATGTCCAATGATTGAGCCACGTTGGATGACAGTTTGGTAATTTCTTACTAAACATACTTTTACCATATAATTTAGCACTTCCTCATTGCTCAATTAAGTACTTTATTTAAAAAACTCCAGCTGTTTATGTTTTGTGTAATCTATTTTTTGTTTTGTTTTGAGACAGAGTTTCATTATGTAGTTCAGGCAGGCCTTAAACTCAGTATTTAGCCCAGGCTGACCTCAAATTCATTATGATTCTTCTGCCTCAGACTCCAGAGTGCTAGGATTACAGGTGTGTGCTACCGTGACCAGCTTCTAGTCTTTTAATTTTTTTAAACAATGTCTTGCTATATAGTTCAGGCTGGCCTGGAACTCACTATGGAGCCCAGGCTGGCCTCAAACTTGCAATGATCCTCCTGCCTCAGTCTCCTGAATGCTGGGATTACAGGCATGTACCAATATGCCTGGCTCTATTTTTCTTTTGAATGATACTAGTCATAAACTTTCTGAACTGCCATGCTTTTATTATTTTTTGTTAATCACCAGCAAATTAGTAAGGTTTAACACAAGCATAAAATCAGTTTCTTGAGAAATTGTTTTTAACATATTGGTTGTTTACATTATCTTTTGTGTGTGATGAGGCTGCATATTAATATGCTTGATAGTCAGAGAATATTGTCGTGATGACTCTTCTTTCATGGTGCTGGAGTTGGAACCAGGCCCTCACACATGCCACACAAATGATCTACCACTGAGCTACACCTACAGCCCCTGCTCACTACATAATCTTGTCATTCTTGGGTGGTCTAGCATCTGAGTTCTCTCCCTTTGCCTTCAAGGCCTTCACCTCCCAAGATAATGCCCTCCTTACATTCAGGAGAAGTGACAGTTATATAATCTGCCAGCCTCCCATGTAGCCAGAGCTCCAGCCCAGCTGTCTATTCTTTCTTGACAGTCTGGGTTTGAACTTGTGATCCTCCTTCTTCAACCCCCCAGAGCACTGGCAATCACTGGTGTGTGCCACTGTTATAGTTTGTGTCTAGATGTCCTCCAAAGCCTCATGAGGAGAGCATTTTTTAGAGGTGACTGGATCTGGAGTGTGTGACTGATTCATGGTGTGATGCTAGGATTAAGGGTGGCTGATTACTACATCAGTCCACTGATTGGTTTGGCAACACCTTGATCCTGGTAGACTTGATACAATATAAGGGACAGAGAGAGGCTTGTCCTGTCCCTTGTTTGCTTTGCTGCCTTCTGCCTGTTCACCTCTGCAGTACCTGTCTGCAGTTCTACCCTGCCTTGGAGCCAGCTGATGAGGGACTGAAACCCTTACAGATTGTGAACTAAAATAAACCTTTTCCCCTTTAACTTTGAGTGTTGGGCATTTTGTCTCAGCAATGAGAGAAAAGTGAGAATTTGGTACTAGAGAAGCAGGGTGGTTGCTGTGACTATACCTGACCATGTGGTTCAGAAGCCTTTGGACTGGCTAGGGGGAAGAGTTTGGGAAGGTTTGGAGATGCCAGCTGATAAAGTAAAGCTGGAACATCTTAGGCTGTACTTGGTGGGAGATTTCTGGTCAGAGCTCAGAAGACCAAAAATCTGACAGAAATGCTGCTGGTAAAGACCAGGCTCAAGAGGTTTCTGCTGGGAAGTAGGATTGTATTGGCCATTAGAGTCCAGACAATGTGTGTTACACCTTGGCAGAAAGTTTACTTGCATTTTGCTTGTGTCCAGAGACTTTGCCTGAGACTAAGATTAAGTGTAGTGGACTAATTAATGTTGCAGAAGAAATTTCAAGGCAGTTTAATATAGCAGCAATATCAGCAATGATTTGGCTACTTCTGGGGGATTTTAGCCAGATTTATGTTGAGAATCAAGAGCAAAGAATCCAGCAGAATGATTCAAAACGTTGTTTGGCCAGAAAGGAAGCTCCAGTAAAGTTGCAGCTTGCAAAGATGGAACAAAGGAGAAATTGGTTGCTGAGGAAACTTGCAAGAAAAAGCGAAGTATTTTAGAAGAAGACAACAGAAAAGGTAGCCTGAGGACATCACCAGAACCAGCAGGACTCCAGTGAAGGTGAAAGAGAAAGACATTGCTTTGAGAAGAGAGCCCCACAGCCATGCTCTAGAATGGCAGTGGCCTGGTGTGGGGAGCAGCTAGAACTGGAATCAATCACATGTGTGAGGTGAGCCATGAAAACAAGCTGTTCCAGGTCCAAGAACTCGAGGTGGTCATTGTTAGCCAGGCAAAGTTGCTAGGCAGAGGTGTTGAAATTGACATCAGTCTCCTGAGTGTATAAATAAATGCACTGTGGTGGTTGAGAAGTTCCTTTTCCTCAGCCAGAGAGAGGGCTCCAGCCAACCTCAGCTTTCTGTATATTGTCTCTTATCTTTATTTCTCCATCCTCTCACTGTCCTCCCCCACCGGGAACTTCGAAAGCTGCACTGGATGCAGCAGCCTAAGGAAATTGTTTCTTGGGATTTGGTTCATAGGCAGTTGACTCCTACAGCCAAGGGAGAAGGAATCCTGGCCACTGCTCCAGCAGGCATTGTACCCTGGCGTC